TTTTTTTTTTAATTTTTAATTTTATTTTACTTTGTGGTGTTTGGTTGTCTGACAAAGATTGTAATCTGTTGACAAGTTCATATCATATCTATCTTGGCTCTTAAGCCTTTCCCAATAGCCAAGTAAAAGTGTTACCTATCTATCCTTGAATGGATGGAAAACTATACCATAAAACATAACATATACTGTCCTCATTGCTCTGTACTATTCCTTCTGTTCCAGTTTGCCACTGAACAGCGGTATCTTCATTTCAAGTGTGCAGAGCATGTTAAGCAAAGTAATTGGCTAAATGCTATAATTTTGCTGCTCTCCCTTTCCTCAAATGTTACTAACAATCAAGGAACCAAAATAGTGATGTAAGGATGGACAGGGATGGGAGAGGTCAAGTTTTGATAGGCAGCTTGATTCAAGCTTACCTGTTTTCATGGCAAGGCATGGCATGGCAGAGTAAGAGAAGATGGATCTACTCACCAGCTTCACAAGCTTTGAAAGATAGCTAGATCCATATTGTTATTCTTTTCCACTTAGGAGATTGCAGATTTACCACTCTTTCAAAACTCTGCACCTGCACAAGCCCTCTGAACAAACCTGTGGAGGTGTGGAGTTTGGAAAAGTGCTAATCCTTGCTCATAAAACAAGTGATTACACTCTCGAAAAAATAGGTATCTCAGTTAGTCTACTCAACAGCTATTAGGTAGGCTTGCAGTCATTTGTAAAAAGTCATGGTCTGCTTTCAAGAGACCCCACTTCTCTCAAAACTGGGCATCTCTCCAAGCCCACTGAATAGCTGAGGGATAAGTTTTTTTGAACTATGGTTTCTGGCTTTCAGGGGATTGTGGCTCTTTCAAAACTGGCACTTTCCATGAGATGAGGAGAAAAAGTGAATGGCAGTGGAGGATCATATCTGAAGACCAGAGGGCAGGAGTGTGCCTGCACCAGCCTGAAGTGGTTTGATTCTGCCCCCACCCCATAGGTCACCTGATTTGGTCACCAACTGCATACGTGATGAAGTGAGTTAGATTTGTCACACCTTGAAACAGCCACTAGTTGCTGTCAGCTTAAGGGGAAAATGTTGATAGCATATAGCTAAGGACAACATAAGGCTGTTTCATGCATGGGTTCAGAGCAAAATGAAAGCAATGTCAAGGGCAGAGAAACATTCTTGCCAGGCAATATTTATAATGTGAACATAGATGCAAGTGAGGAAAGTCCCTTACTCATTTAAAGCTTCAGAAGCTAGCACTACTATCTTGAAGGGCAAAGACCAGTTCTACTCCTTGTGCAGCAACATTCCTGCCTGAACTGCCTGATTCCACCACCAGGTTGGCCAAGGAGTATTCAAGACACATAGTTCTTTGGAACTTTAACCTCTACCTGGGTGATCTTGAGTCTGGAGCAGCTTAGGAGTTCATGGCCATCATGGAAACTATGGACATGACCCAAATTATAGAAGGCCTGACGCACACTGGAGGCACATATTTTTTCTAATCATTTGTTGGTTTGTTAGGTATCCCCCAAACAATTAGAATACCCAATTGACCCCAGGCCAACAAACTGATACTGTGGAGGTCTGGTCCCAGTGTTTGAAGGTTGTGGAGGTCTGAGTAGATTCAAGCTCAACTACAAGAAGATTGAGTGGCTGTAGGATGGAATGTAAGCAGGTATTTGGACCATTTGGAAAGGGAAACTTTCCATCTTTAGTCCTGAACAGCGCTGCACTCCCCTATTTGGCATTGGTGCACAATTTAGGCTTTTTCCTGGAATCACAGCTCCTGCTCAGTAGCAGGTGGCAGCTGTGGCAAGGAAGGCCTTCACACAGATCCATCTGGTGCATGTGGACTATTGCAAAGGGGCTGTCCTTGAAGACCACTCAGAAACTTCAGCTGGCCCAGAATGCAGCAGCATGAGCTGTTATGGGCATACCGTGGTATGTCCATGTAATACCTCTGCTCTGTGACTGCACTGATTACCAGTAGGCTTCCGGATACAACTCAAGGTGCTGATTATCACCTATGAAGCTCTTCATGTCATAGGATTTCTCTGTATGATGGGCCATTTGTCTCTCCCTGTCCTGATCAATCGGGCAGAGTTGACAGGTTTCCAGTCCCATCAGTTAATGGTGCCATCTGATGGAACCCATGAAGCAAGCCTTCTCTGTCATGCTACTTGTCCTCTGGAATAGCATTCCCCCACTCCATGATTTGCAGCATCTCTACCATTGCCTCATTCAAATGCCGCCCCCCACCCCAGGCCTCAGAATTAGTTGGGTAGTAAGCCACTTGAGAGAATACAAGTGCTGAAAAGATGTTGGTTCTATTTTCTCTGATGTTCGCATTTTTTTATTCTATTAATGTTATTAATTTGTTTTGAATACTGTATGCCACCCAAAGTTATTATGGAGCAGGCTGGCCTTACAAATAGGATAGATACATAAATTGAAGGACAATACAGTTGATAAACTGTAAATATCATACAGACACACACACACGCGCGCGCACACACACACACACTAATCAAAAGGAAAAGTTATTTCCTCAAAGGTCTTATTGACTTTTATTGAAAAGAGGATGTCATATTAGATCCATCTTGATCTACAGAAATTTTGAAGTCAGGTTTTTTTTTCCAAAAATTGAAATAGATTTTTAAATGCCTTTGTTACTTAACAATATAAAGTGCATTATCCATAATTTGTTTGTCATTGTTGAATAATGAATAATTTTAAGCATTACAACAGTGCCTTGTTTCTAAAGTTTCTGGCCACCAAAGGCTAGCTATTATTCAAAATGTAAAGCTGTTCAGGGAAAATATTTTTAAAAGTATTAAGGAAAAAAGAAGGGAAAGTAAAGATTATTTCCTTCTTGGTTTTTTTTTTCCTCCATAATAACTTTGGGTGGCATACAGTATTCAAAACAAATTAACAACGTTATAAGCCTAAATCCATTTTGGTCCAAGTCGGCAAGGACAGGGTTATATTTTTATCCAGATCATTTTCTCTCTGAAATATTTTATCATTTAGAAGGCATCAGCTGGCTTTATAAAAAGAAGTAATCCTAAACCATGTGTAGACTCCATCATGCTGGACACAATCGCCAGTCTCATCTAATGTCCCATAAGGTAAATCTTTAATTCAAAGTTATCAATTCATCAGCATTACTCAGACCTTCTATAATTTGTTCAAAGGCATTGGTGGGCTGTTCCCATAAAATTCTTGCTATTGGAGAGAAATAAGGGAGGGATAATTTGTAATCTTTTAACTTGGGCTATAAAGTAGCAGAAACATAACGAGGGCAGAGAGTTTAGTAAAATTCCATTCAAGCTGCTTAGCATTCTCTGTTATTTCTGGGTCTTTGAAATAATTGAAGCAAAAGGTGAGGGAAAAGGCTAGAAGAAATTTCAGTTAGTTATTCTAGCTAAAAACCACATTTTGGGCAAAACTATCCTAACATTTTTTGGGTTTCAGTTTTAGCCTGATTTTTTTAATTACTCAGTGATTATATTATTTTATATTACTGGAAGATTTTTTTCTCTCTCCAGTTCTTTTGTGGAAGACTTCTAGTGCATGGTTTGGCAGTCAAAGAATTGAGAGAAGTGTTGGCCTTCACAAAATGCTCTTATTTTTCTTCTACAAGGGTGGAGGACTTCTTCTCTTTTTAGGTATGCATTTATTTGACCAATTTATAAGCATCCTTTTGGAGTTAACTTTCCTAAGGGGCAGGGGGAAACTTATAAGTAAAAACCACAACAAGGAATTGCAAATAAAAAGTGAACACTTAAAATGAATGTTAAAATAAGACAATGCCACCCAACTGGCCTATCTGATATCCTCCAACTCTTAT